AGTTTCAAACTCAAATATCAAATCCAAATTTCAAACAAGATTTGGGTTTCGTAATGAACCCAGAACTTAATGTCTCTAATTCAAAACCAAAAATGAAATTTTAGTTTCATTCGGCTTACATTTAAAATAAAAAAAAATGAAAAAAAAAGAGGGTTGAAACCCAGATGGCTTCCTCAAAGAACCCAAATTTTGGGAACCTCGAAGAACCCAAAAGCTAGGTTCCATGAGGAACCCAAATGGTTTCTGTGAAGAAGCTAGAAGCTGGGTTCCTCGAAGAATCCATTTTCTAGCTTCCATGAGAAACCTAGTTTTTGGGAACCTCGAAGTACCTAGAAGCTGGTTTCCTTGCGGAACCCAGCAAGATGGCGAAGAGGATGATGAAGAGGATGGCAAAGAGGATGCCAAGGATGAGGATGAGCAAGAGGATAAGGATGAGGAGAAAGAAGAGGATGAAGAAATTAAAGTTAATTTCAGTTTAAATTCATTTAATTTATGAATTAAGAAATAAAATTTTTAATTTGTACAAGTTGGCCCAAAATATGCTTACATAGATTTATAACTTTATCCATGTAATATCCACATCATTTACAATATCATTTATATAAAAAATAATGAAGTCATTCTGTTAATTAATGTGATAAGTCAGCAAAAATTTAATGGAGGATCGAAAAGGTATTGGATTTTAAGTTTTAGGGATTAAAAAGAGAATTTTTTCAATATAAGAACCAAAAAAAGGGTTTTTTTTTTTTCAATAGTAAATGGACAAAAAAAGGTATTTAACCTATTACTTAGATAACTATTATACTTATTAGAGTGATTTTAATGTATCAAGTATTAAATTTCAACGTCAAGGGAGAGCATGTTACAATATAATGTTGAAATGGGTCTTTGCTTAGGCGTCAATTTCTTTGTTTAGGTGTCAATTTATTCTTTACGTGTTAATTTATTGTTCACATGTCTACAAAATAATTTGTAGTTTTAGTTTATTGAATGATAGAGTCCAAAGTTTGTTACCTAGTCTTTGGTTAGTGGAGATAAGGTTCCTTGCTTTTAGAGATAAGTTAGTTTTTTTGTTACCGGATCATGGAGTCCTTGAGTTGTTGTACTTGTGCACCTTGTTGCTCTACTTTCTACATTTAAAAGAGCACAAATCAGGAAAATAATTATCAATTCAATTCACCATTTCTGTTGCACACCAAGAATTTGATTATTTACCTCTTAAAAATTTCGTTTATTTTAACCCCTGTTTTTTTTTATCAATAACTATATCCATCAATCACTAATCTACATTTTGTTAAAATGTCAAATCATTATTAATTGGTTCGT